ACATGGACCTGGTGGCCTGTTGTCTCTTGCCCTCTCTCTGTCTTTCTAGTGAGCACATGTGTGTTTTATAGCAAATTAAATAATAATAATAATAATAAATCAAATTAAATAAATAATTCCCCCAAAAAAGCAATTGGAATAAGGTCAGTTAAAATTATGCAAAAAGCTGCAAAAGGACTGATGCCATTCTATTCCACCGTGAAATTTCAAGGATGAATCATAGGCGAATGTGCTGCCAGGCAGGTGATGCAGCGCAGCCCGTGGTTAAGGAACTCAGCCAGCTGAGAAATTGCACGCTGAGATCTAACAGTCCTGGCTTTGAATCCTGGGTGTGCCCCTCCCCTTCCCTTGGTCAGGAGTGTGTCTATAACTTGTGGGTTTGGGTTCTGCCATTGCCTGCAAAGACTGTGTGACTTTGGACTTGTGTTTGCCTTTTTGGTGTGTCTCCTCCTTTGAAAGATGGAGCTACCACCAGTCCCCTGCACAGGGTGGCTGCAGGGACTGTGACCTGGCATGCTGAGTTCTCAGGGCAGGGCCTGGCAATGTAAGGACTTACTGGGCATCCTTCATGGCCCACTGTTCTCAGATCGCCTGAAGCCAAATGGGCTCCACACTTCTTTAGGATTTCAGAAAGGTCACACGGCATACTCCCTATACAAAATGCCCCCATGTGTGTGTATTTGGCATGTCAATATTCATGCTAATCGAGATAGAGACTATGAATCGCCTCACCATCAGGCTAGTTTGCCACCGATGTTCGTGGACTTTTACCATCATGATTTTGCCTCCCCGAGCCTCAGTTTTCTCATCTATAAAGCGGCAACAAAGGGCAAGGTCCCTCCTAAAGCACAATGCTCAGGATGTCCCCTTTTTATTTATTTATTTTTTTAGAGGTTTTTGCTATAGGGCGTGTGCACTTGCCAGACAGAGAGAGACAGAAAGACAGAAAGTGAGAAATCACCCCCCAGGGGGGATGGCCACGCCGCAATACCCTCTCCTCCATTCTCCTCTCGGGATCTTGGGCACACACACACACGTGCCCGGCGTGAGTTTTAAGCCACTGGGTCCGGGATGCGAACCGTGGTCGACTATGTGGGAGTCCAGTGACATAGCCATTACGCTAACTGCTGGTCCCCATTCCCTTCTTTCCTGGAGAGCAATGTAGATCCTGGAAAGTCTTCCCTCCCTCCACCCCAGCCCTCCTGGAAAAGAGGGTGGATTGACCAGGTCCCACCAAGCAGGGTGTTCCTACCTTCTTGCGGCCCCAGCCTCACTGCATGGGATTCGTGTAGGATCTCTGCCACCGGCTTGCGGGTGTAGAGGATGGTGGCCCCGCTCAGGTTGACTCGGATGCGCTGGGCCCGGGAGGTGAGGTTGGCCAAGCACAAGGCCAGCTTCAGGTCCTGGCCCAGCATGGGTGGCTCTAGCACCTTGAACTTGCCGGTAATGCTGGGCTTGGTGGCTGGCTCCAGGAGGTCATCACGCCAGAGACCACGGCCCCCCGCCCTGCGGAGCCGGGTCCTCCTTCCAGAGGCTTCCACACTAAACAGCTTCTTCACAGCCTTGCTATCCCCCTGCCTCTCCTTCCGGGACCCTGCAGGGCATGGCACACCATCAGTAGCAGGCACTCTCCTTTTCTTAAAGTAATTTTTTATTATTTAATTTTTTATTTGTTATTATTACTATTACTTTGTAAAAAAAATTGACTGAAGAGAGAGAGAGAGAAAGAGGGAGAGAGAGAGAGAGAAAGGGAAAGGGAAAGTGAGAAAGCAAGCCACTAGATCCGGGACTCAAAACATGTTTGGCCTTGTGGGAGTCCAGCACCTTAACCACCATGCCATCTCTGGCCCTGGCACTCTCTTCTGCCAGCCCCAGGGCCTATTATCCTCACTTCCCGCTTTCTTTAGGCCAGACTGCCCCTCCATCACCACTTGCATTCGCCATGACGCTCAGACATCTCCCAGGGACAGCCCAAGAGCCATAGGCAGAGCTTGGCCACATATCATGTATTTGGCTCACCGACTGTGTACGTACGATTTAAATCCACTACCAACAACTTCACATGAGGAAATTTCACGTACGAATGCAAATTTCCGGTTTTCTTGGCAACTGGCTCTGAAACCTCATGTAATAATGATAGCTAATACTTTGGTAGATTTACTGTGTGCTGGGTATTACAGCTTTAGGTGCTATATTTTTCCCATTAGAAGATAGGTGTTAGATCATTTTACAGAGAGGAAGCTTAGGCTACAGAGATAAACTATCTTATCAGTCATGGCTCATGTGGTTAAGTGAGGCGCTAAGTGTTGAACCCAGGCATTCTGGCTCCTAATTCCATGTTATTTTTTTTTCCTTTCTTTAATTTTTATTTTTTTTTTTATTTTTTTTTTAGATTTTTGTTATAGGGCATATGAACTCGCCAGAGAGTTAGAGAGAGAAAAAGCAAGAAATCACCCTCCAGGGAGGATGGCCACACTGCAATTCCTTCTCACTCTCTTAGGATTTTGGGCATGTCCAGTGTGATTTTCAAGCCAACAGATCTGGGACTCGAACTGTGCTTGGCCATGTTGAAGTCCAGCACTGTAACAACTACGCCACCTCTTGGTCCCAACAGAACATACACTTTGCCATCTGAACCATTTTAAGTGCATATTCCAGTGTGCAACCATCACCACATCCATCCAAAACTCTTTCATCTTGCAAAATTGAAACTCCATGCTCATTAACAATAACTTTCTATTGTTTCCAAACCCTAACCACCATTCTACTTTCTATTTGTGTGAATTTGACTCTTTTATGTGTGTGGTACCTCATGTATGTGAAATCACACATCATGTGTCCTTTTGAGACTGGCTTATTTCACTTAGCATAATGTCCTCAAGGTTCATCCATGTTGAAGGGTTTATCAGAATTTCTTTCACTTTTCCTTTCTTTCTTTTTTTTTTTGGAGAGGTTTTTGCTATAGGGTGCGTGCGCTCACCAGATAGACAGAGAGAGACAGAGAGACAGAAAGTGAGAAATCACCCCCCAGGGGGGATGGCCACGCCGCAATCCCTTCTTCTCCATTCTCCTCTCGGGATCTTGGGCACACACGCACATGCGCCCAATGTGAGTTTTAAGGCACCGGGCCCGGGATGCGAACCACAGTCGACTACATGGGAGTCCAGCGACATAGCCATTACACTAACTGCTGGTCCCAGAATTTCTTTTATTTTTAAGGCTAAGTAATAGTCCATTGCATGTGAAGTCTTCTAGATCACAGCCAGGCCATCCCAGCTGAGCACAGTCCAAATCGCTGACCACAGAATCTTTACCAAGGAAATCATTGTTATTTAAGACATATAACTAAAACAGCTCCCGGTGGTTCTGTTGTGCAACTAGGGCTGTGAACCCTAGAGAGTAGAAAGGGGAGGGTAGCACCCAGAACACTGCTATAGCTTGTGCAAGGCAGGGGAAGAGACAAGGTCTGACCTACATTTGAACATGAAGTCTTAATTACTCAGTAACTTTGTTCTAACAAGCAGAAATGGCTGAAAATACACAGATCAGATCAAACATTGCTATTGGACACTTTACTCAGTGACCTTGAAATATATACTTGGAGGCAGTTACATGAAAAAAATATTATTGTCTTGTTTTTGTACCCCAACAAAAATAGGTCTTGTCTTCGATAAGCCAGTGACCATGGCACAGACCCGGCAGTTGATAAACTGGAGTTTCTATTGGGTCGTTGGAAAAGTCATGATGTATTTTTCTTTGCAAAAGTGCGTATGACTTTTTCAATGACCTAATATTATGATTCTGAATTGTGCCTAGTGCCATGTTGAATAATTATCACCCGTTACTCTCATTATTATTATTATTACTACAGCTTGAACATCCCTAATCTAGAATACACGATGCTCCAAAAATCTGAAACTTTTTGCACACTGATATGGTGCCACACATGGAGAATTCCACCACTGACCTTATGTGATGGATATCAGTCAAAATGCTGCAATGCAAAAATATTGTTTAAATTTACCTTCAGGCTACATGTATAGATATGTATGAAACATAAATGAATTTTGTGTTTCAACTTGGCTCTCACATCCGGGATATCTTACCGTGTATCTGTAAATATTCCAAAATATGAAAAAGTCTAAAATCTTAAATACTTCTTATCCTTTGTGGCCAGCAGGTGGCATGGTGGTTAAGGCACTGGAATCTCACATGGCTGACCATGGTTCTAGTCCTGGACCTGGTGGCTTGCTTTCTCACTTTCTCTCTCTCTCACTCTCATCTCTCTCTGATGAGTGTGTGTGCCCTGTAGCATCTTAAGAATATATAGTGATAAATTAAATTAAATTAAATTCTTAAGAAAAATACTTATGGTCCCAAGCATTTTGGAGGAGGGCTACTCGACCCATAGCAGTAATTATTATTATCATACATGAAGATACCTAATTTGTTATTTTTGTATATAATAATATACAATATACATATTGTATATTATTGCCAGTGTCTGGCAAATAACAACTGTTTCAGAAAATGTAGGTATAACTATTATAGCTTGGAAATCTAACACAGGAGAGGTACTTAGCACACAGGAAGCTATTACTGTACCCTAAGTAAAGGCACTTGGCCCAGTCCCCAAGACTAGGTTAAGCAGAAGCTGCTGTCACCGTCATGACATGTGGAAAGGGCTTGGTCTCAGGCTGCTGGTGGTTGGTCTCCACAGCGGATGGGCCATTCTGGGAACACTACAAAGGCTGTTGTGTGGCCCTCACCTTCCGGATATTTGTAGAGGCTGGTGATGTCCACACGGGAGTCGCTGCCCACTGCCTTGGTGCTGATGCATCTTCCAATCTTCTTGGTGTCTGAGTACACGCGCTCCCGGCTCTCATCCTCATTCCACAGCCAGGTGACATAGTCTGCATTGACCTCCGCAAACACGAAGGGGCCGTCGTGGGCCAAGTGCACGTCGCCCTCACGGATGGCGGTGACCGAGGCTGGGCCGCACCGGAACACACCTGGGGAGAAGGGGTGGGCGTGAGTGACATGGGTGAGGAAAAGCAGGGGTCTTGGACCCACCCAGCTGAGCCCTACCTTCGCTTTCCTCCTGGGGAGTGGCATCCAGAACCTGCCAGCCATTGTAAGAGGGGCCTAGATCCTTCCGGGCAAACCAGCTCTCATTCCAGACGTGGAAATTCCTGCCACAGAGAGGGCACAGGCAGGGGGCCTAGAGTGAGCACAGAGGCATGGAGCAGGGAAGCCCCTAAGGTAAGTCAGAAAGTAGGGGCTCTCCACTGCACGAGCAGGAGGCTGCATTTCGTGACTCATTCCTTCAGCCATATTGATGAGTATGTATCATTCATATGTGTGTTTGTATGAAGATACACTGTGATACACACACACAAACACACATGCAGTCAGTTGTCTGTGTACTTGAGCTCTTCCCTGGGAGATTTAACCAACTGCAATACTGAAATACTGCATTGGGACCAATGTGTACTATGTGGTTCTACATGGCTGCAGCTGTACTGAACAAGGATGGTGCGTGTCATTATTCCCTAAACCCTACGTGTAACAGCAATTTAGAAAGCATTTAGGTGTGTAAGTATTACGAGCAATCCAGAGATGACGGTGATATATGGAAGATGTGTATCGGTTGCATGTAAATACTATGCCATTTTGTATAAGGGAGTCAAGCATCTATGGACTTTGGTTTGGTATCCATGGGGGGAACCAATCCCAGGGATGCAGAGGGAACTGTGTGTGTATATATATAAACACCAAGAACCTAATAGGTACCAGGAATAGAACTGCAAGTTAGACAGAAGATCCTTGCTCTCATGCAGCTTGTATTCTGACAAAGGAGACAGATGGGGGAGACAGGCAAAATAAAGTTAGCAGATAAATAATTAAAACAAATGCAAGACAATAAGTGTTATGAAGAAAAAGAGAGGCTCGAGCTAGGGAATATCTGGGAGACCTGCTCTAGGTAAATGACATCTGAGGTGAGACCGACAAGAGAAAGAAACCACCTTAGGAAGAGTGAAGGGAATGTTGTTCCGGGCAGAAGGAACAGGACATACAATCTTCAGACAAGAAGAAGCTCAGCGTGTTCAGGAACAGAAAGTATGTAAATTTCTCTGGGGCATGGCCAGCACAAGGGCTAGGTATGGCTCGGTCTATGCAGAGCTCTGTAGGTCTTGGTAAGGAGCCTTGGCTTTATCTTCAATTTCCTGCGTTAAAGATGAGAATATGAGCAAGGTCACTACGGGAGGTCACGCAGGCAGGAAGTAGTAGAGCAGAACTGACCCTTGACTTGCCTGACTCAGAGTCTTCAAAGCTGGTCTCAGAACTCCTGAGGGAGGTCATTGCCTCTGGGAAAATATCAGGAGAAGCGTTTGAGAAATCAAAGGGTGGAGATCCCGATAACTTGGGTAGAGACAAAGTCTCCAGCATCAAAAAGAAGTGCCAGGTCAGCAGTGGCATAGTGGTTAAGGTGCTGGACTTCCACATGACTGTCCACAGTTCAATTCCCAGACCTGGCAGCTTGAAAATCATGTTGGGTGTGTGTTTACTTAAGTGCCCAAAATTCCAGGAGGAAAATGGAGAAGAAAGGACTGTTGATGTGGACACTTTCCTTCTGTTTTTCTCCAGCCAGGGCATGCACCCTGACCTTAAAAAATAATAATAAATAAAATAAAATAAAATAAAAAGTGCCTGCATGAGTGCCTAGAATTCCAAAAGGAGAATGGAGGAGAAAGGATTGCTGTGTGGTCATCCCCCGCCGAGGGGGTGATTTCTCACTTTCTCTCTTTCTGTCTCTGGCAAGGGAGCGCATGTGCCCTATGGCAGAAACCTAAAAAAGAAAAAAAGAAGAGCCTGTCTATTCTACATGAGAAAAGAAGAATGCAGATTGTGTATGTGTGTGTTTGTGTGTGTGTGTGTGTGTGTGTGTGTGTGTGTGTGTGCTCCCAGGGAGAAGAGAACTATAAAGAAGAGAAGGAGAGGGGAGAAGAGAGGAGTGAAAAGGTGGTGTCAGCGTGGAGACTAGACTGGGGGAGGCTCCTGGCATGCTCTCCCGGGGACCAGATGCTGGGCCTTCTTGGTTTCTTTGTTTTCTCTTCACTGTCTTCCCTAGTCTTTGGAAATTTGACTTTCTGGGCCAGACTCACAAACATGTGAACAGACATTAAGACAAGGCTATCCATGGGGCTGGCAGGTGGCGTGGTGGTTAAGATGCTGAACTCTCTCACTGTCTCCCTGTCTCTCTCTGGTGAGAACACGTGCCCTATAGCAAATAAAATAATAATAAATAAAATTAAATAAACAATTTTTTTAAAAAGAAAAGGTTATCCACTGAAGCCTTATTTTTTTATTTTATTTTATTTTTTCTGTAGCATTTGAAATGTCCACCCACATGGGATGATTAAGCAATGGGGTTTTTTTCCAAACAGTCGAGAGGCAGACCAGGTTCATGCTTTTATTCTTCTAATCACTAGCTGTGTAGCCTTAGGATACTTAAACTCTCTGTGTCTCAGATTCCCCATTTGAAAACAGAATTCATAATTCTAGTTTACAGTGGTTTTTTGGGGGGGAATACAAGAGCTAATCTATGGACAGCATCTAGAACTGGGTCCGGCATGGATAAGGTGCTTAGTGACTGCAGTGTTTATTGCTAATACTTCAAACACTGTGGAAGAGAAGGAACGTTTTTAAATGTACTGATAAGGAACTATTAAGAGTACACGCAAGAACAGTATTACATTATGCTGTCACGATTGGTTAAGGGCAAAAAGCGGAGAGGGTGATACATATATGTACAAGTATGTTCTTCTATCTGCAGAGCCTGTCTCTGAAAGGGTTTGTTAAAAACTGGTCGTTTTCTCCTGTTTTGCTTCCAGGAGGATGCGGAGGCTGGGGGACCAGCTGGGAGGGGATCACTGTCATCCATTTGTACCCTTTGAATATTACACCACATACATGCATTTCCCATTAAAAAACTAAACACAAATAAATGATTTAAAGCTTTGCAGGAAGACTTTTGTTTTAACCCAGGAAGGAGGTTGTTCTCACCCGAGGCACACAGCAGGGAGAACAGGCAGTTGGTACAGAGGCAGGAGCGGGATGGAGGTGTGGAAGGAATACCCAGTCCTCCCCTGGGAAGTCACAGGAACCTTGGAGAGGGCTCAGATTCCCACGGGGTAGAACCCCAGGGCTCAAGGCAATCAATGTTGAGACACCCTCCTGATATGAGTCACAGGTCCAAAGACCTTGTATCTCAGAAGAGGGACCACCCCACCCCCGGGCTATCTCACTCCTTCCAGAGCTGGCACATACTCAGGAGGGCTGGGCCCTTGACCTGGGTCTGCCACTCCCTGGCCATGTCCTGGAAGTTGAGGGCTTCCATAACTGCTGAGTTTTGGGAGTCCCAGGCCCTGTCCCTGGACCCAGCGGGCCTAAGACCCACCACATGCTGTCTTCAGTCAGGTCCTCTAGGGTCCGCCCGAAGGAGTCCACATATTTGTCCACACTCAGGTTCCTGTCTGTGTCATGGGCCGAGTTGAAGTTGGACACGACCCGTGTTGCGATCCCCAAGCACCTAAGGACTGAGAGCAGAGGCCCAGGAAGATTCAGGAGCAGGCCTGGAACCCAGACTTGAGGGCTGCCCCGTCTCATGCCCAGGCACAGCTGTCCCCCATCTTTGTCTACTTGGGCAGGTGGCAAGGCTGAGACTCTTCTCTGTTCTTTCAGAAAGGTGCACTCTCTGAGGGGACATCTGAGGTGTTACTGCCAGCTCTGAGGATGGCAAGACCTTGGGAGCCACATAACAGACCCATTCATTTTTCTGAGGGGCCCTAAAGCCCTAGGGGATCTCGGGGCTCACCCGTGGGCACTCAATGAGCAGAGGGAAGTAGGACTCTGCAAGACAAAGACCCAAAGTCAAGGGGCCAGATGCTGGTACAGGGGAGAAATGTGTTACTCTGAGAGGCAATTCCACGTGGGATGGTTCCTGGCTCACGTCCAGAGACCTCCCTGAGTATGTTGGGGCTGGCTGAAGTCTGGGTGTGAATGGTGGTGTGAAGACTCTGTTGGGGGTGCCGTCTCTCTCTCTCTCTCTTTTGCTTATGGGAGAAAGAAAGAAACTTTAAAAAAGAAGTCCGGTAAATGAACGATATGGTTTTTCTCTTCATTAACCACACTTAT